GCTTTCACATTTAGGCGATTAAAGCTAAGCGTCCACATGTCAGTATCGTACGCATCGGACGTATCGCACGCAACGGATCGTAGTATTATTTATATGGAAACTCATATAAGTGCGTCCACCTGTCCGCATCGCACATCCGATACGATGTGTTTCGTACGATTCGTCCGTTGCGTACGATACCGACAAGTAGACGCTTAGCTTTAGCAACCGACAGTCATACAAACATACTATGTGACAGCGGATGCATGCCTTCACATTATAAAAACATAACCCTCCTTCTGGCGCAGTCGGGTAAAAACGCCGCTGCCGCGCTGCTGTTGCGCTTCTAACGCTCTTATGTGAAAACGCTCTTACACGTATTAATCAGTGAAGTAGGTAACTAAACGTCAACTTAATTTTAAGCGATTAAATTGCATGTAAACTACTTGCTACTTAAAATTTTGTTGACAACTAAATTTTAACTTGCAACTTACTACTAAATGCTGCATAAGTTAAAATGTAGTTACCTACTTAATACGTGTAAACCAGCCTTTTCTCTTGAACGAGTAACCTTTGCTGGATTGTCTTCGTCATATTTGACGTTCATGAACACCAAAATACTAGTCAAAGTTATTAATTAAATTATTTTAATTAGTTTCCCTAAATCATTAGAATGAGTTGAATGTTTTTGTTTCCAGGTGCTGGTTGCAGCCTCGAAGCTCCAGTTATTATTCCGCGAGTGACGTCCGCCGTATTGATTTGATATTATTCAAATAATATCAAACCATAACTCACAAAATATCGTTATCAACCTCGCTGATGTTTTTCTCAAAGATTTTGCAAAAGACAATGTCATGATAAGTACACAATAATTATAATTTGTAGACTGTACCAACATCGAAATAACACAGTTATTCAAACTTGATATCAAGTAATGTGTTCCTCCATTACAATCAGTGTTAGATTGAGTGACTGCCCATAAATAGTCAATCAACATAAGGTATTGAAGTGGCTCTGATTCCAGGCATGTGCAAAGCTGCCCGGACCTGGCTCAGTCTTGCTCAGGCAGGGACACAGTATTCATTAACAGGCTTATTAGAAGATTGTATTTTTATAAGGATTTAAATGATAGTCATAGTAAGTTCAAATTTTATATTTTTATAAAAAAATATATGATAGTATCAAAATTACCTTGTTTAAAATTTTATGTTTTAATTATAATATCCTTACGCATAATCTACACAGTCTTAAAACTAGAATGGAAAAAATTGGTAAACAAAATAAGCATAAAATAGCAATTTAACAAAAAACCTAAGTTCCTATAACATCTAATACTTTAAATAAAGGCACATAATATTGTAATCAGATCATTACTCGGCAAGTTGATACGTTATAGATTGCATTCCACCGCGCGCAATGCTTGACTCTACTTGTAGACAAGTTCTTTATTCTTCGTCCATTTGTCCCTCTTTGCCACTCCACTAAACGTTGGCACCATCCGGTGCCTGGCCGCCAGGCGTCTGGCTGTGCCGCCTCCTGTGCCGCGCGTGCGCGAACTCTCGCAGCCGCGCGAAGTTCGCTTCCGAGCCAACCAGATCCGGGTACCATGCAGGACCGTAACCCTCCGAGAGTGCTATCCCGCTCAGCATCTTCCACCGCAGGTCTTCATACAAAGGACAGTGCCACAATACGTGGTGGTGCCTGTCCTCCTCTCTCTCTTTGCACTCGCACATACTCCCCTCTGGCAGCTCCATGTCACTCGGCCTTTTGTTGAAGCATCCATGTCCAGTGAGTATCTGCGAGGTTACGTAGTCCGGTTGGATCCAGCGCATGCTGAACTGATGGAGCTCTCGACCCTTGATTTCCTGCTCTCAACGCTGCTGCCAAGCTACGATCACCGAATCCCGTATATCGCGTTTCCGACTGCTCATCTCGTCCCGAGTCGCGAGCTGGCGCGTCCTCAGTACAACCGTCCGTCCAGCATGCTCCACCTCGAGGTCGGCGGTAAGGCCTTCGTCAGCAGCACTAGTGCCGGCCTCTGCCTCCTCAGGACAATCCCGCCTGCCGACTGAACTTTGACCCACTCAAACCAACACGCCGCAGCATACACAAGCGTGGCAACGAATGTTCCCTGGTAGAGAATGCGCAGACCGGGGTATCGAATGCCCCAGGAGGACGCAGACACACGCGAAACCTTCCCGAAGCATTTGGCTGCGCGCTCTACAATGTCCTGTGCATGCTGCGTGAACAAGAGACCCGAATCGATCACCACGCCGAGCACTGTTCCTGAGCTCACCTGTCGGATCGAGGCGCCATCAAGCTTGATGATTGGGGGCCTCTGGAATTTCGTGATTGTCATCATAGACGACTTGGCAGGAGAAAATCCCAGTCGGTTCCGGGCTCCCCAATCAGACGCGATGTTAAGGGCCTCTGTGGCCTTTGACTCGATGCTGGCTCTCGATTGCGCCTCAATCAAAATGGTGACGTCATCGGCATACGCCACCATGCTCACCCCCTCCGGCATCGGCGATCTCAACAGGTTTGCAGATGACATAGTTCTATTCAGTGAATCAGCTACAGACTTAGAGAAAATGTTGCAAAGTGTGAACTATGAAAGTATAAAAATCGGCTTACACATGAACGCTTCTAAAACTAAAATCATGTCAAACAGTCCTAGGAAAACAATAAAAATAGAGGAAAAACCTATAGAATATGTAGATGACTATGTATACCTAGGCAAATTGGTGTCATTCGATACAAACAGCAACGAAAACGAACTAGACAGACGAATAGGTATAACATGGAAGAAATACTGGGCACAAAAAGAAATCTTAAAAGGGAATTATAACTTAAATATAAAAAAGACAATAATGGATTCCTGCATTCTCCCAAGCCTAACTTATGCTAGCCAGACATGGGTCTTTACGGAAAGAGTAAAAAACAAAATCTCCTCTTGTCAACACGCAATGGAGAGAAGTATCTTAAAACTAAGAAGAATACAAAAGACTAGAAACACAGACATCCGTATGAAAACTAAATTATCAGATGCTCTTAAATTTAGCCTAAAGCAGAAGTGGAACTGGGCAGGTCATTTGGCAAGATATAAAGATAAGAGGTGGACCTATCAAACAACAAAATGGCAAGGCCCAAAAGGCAAAAGAAACGTAGGACGGCCGAAGAAAAGATGGGCCGATGACATAACAAACAAGGCAGGGAAAAATTGGATGCACATAGCCAGCGACAGGGAAAGGTGGAAAAAGATGGAGGAGGCTTTTACCCAAGTGGGGCCACAAACAAGAGATATAGATTAATTGAATCAAACTGTAAAAATGTGGAATATAAAGCTATAATAATAATAATAAAAATAGTAGATACCTCAGGATTGGTATTCTGTTGGTTTGAATATTGCAATAACCAATAGCCTTTTCCAAGTCAATCAATTTCAATAGAAGCTAAGCGAGTATAAATAATATGTTCAATTAATTAACCGCTTGACGACTAGACGCGTAAACAGAAACGGCCTTGATTTATTATCAGCATGTCACTCGCCGCAAACCTAATGTTTATGATCGCTTCTCAGAAAGGTTATGAATGAAGAGCTTTCAAACAGTGTTGTTATTGTTGCTTTTTATGTACATATGGTTAATTACAGTGAACTATGAAAGTCGAAACTAGCTGTAGAAACCACTAATACTAGAGCTAAAATATGTTTTATTTCTTTAATTAGATCGATAATGATACTAACTCTGGGTGTACTGCAAATGCATGCAGCCAGCCGCTCTCCCGAGGCCCCCAGAACTCGGATATGCTGACTGTCCCCACCACCTGTAGTTCATTAAACTGTATTAAGAAAATTCATTATACATGAACAACTGAAATGTAATCGGACGTTTTTGTCTCATTTAAATTTCATCATAGCAAACAAGACAAATCTAACAATCTGTATGAATTATAGCTTTTGGAGTTAATTTCAATCTCTGTGAGCCTTTTGTAACTTTTGTGTTTATGTAGATATGCCTACCTACCTGTGTGTGTACACTTTTGCTGGGTTTAGATTGCTGATGTTCGGTCTCCGTGACAATCACAGGCGACACTTTTTCTGGGTTCACTAACAGAGGTCCACGGAGCTCAGCCACAAAGCCCATCATCTCCTTGCGCATGTTCTAAAGTATAATAGACAACAAAATTACAGTTAATATTATTTATTACACAAACATAGACGGACAAAAAATTAAATATTAAATCCACCACCGCAAAGAATACCATCGAAACTGCATTGAAACTGTTCTACAGTTTGTAGAAGTTTGTAGAGTTGTCGTTCTGAAGATTCTACAGTTGTCGTTGTGGCAGTGGAAATGCTATTTATTTTAGTAAGTTGTGACCTGCACTTGTTTGTCGGCGTTGGCCGCGTGCGCCACGTGCACGCCCAGCGCCACGGCCGCCGCCAGCGCCGGCGCCAGCAGCAGGCAGCCCGCCACCGACACGCCGCAGAAGATGAACAGCACCGCTCCCGCCAGCACGCACACCTGGAATATCAACTGCCCGCCCCACCACCCACCGGTCACTGAGGGACTACGTATCTTCAGATCCGAATATTCAATTAGAATTTTCTAACTTTAAGAGTCACATCGCATCATCTCAAACTACATTTTAAATAACTTGAATAAAAATGATTTGCTAAGGTAGGAATTGAACCCACGACCATTTGCTTACTGAGTTTTAAGTAGGGAAAAATAAGCAATTTGAATTTATCTTTGTTGCCTGATGTCTCGGTGATGAGTGGTTAAGTAAGAGGGTATTATGATTAATTTACCTTGTAGGTATTATTGTTGCAAACAGGAAATGACACTAGGTTTATGTCGTTTTCTGAGAAGTTAGACGTTATTGCGCAAAAGTTGTACATGGAAGTAGATCTAGATCTAACCAGTGATAGTCTGATAGAGCTGCTAACCTCTTGGAAGAAGAAGAGCAGGAATGCATCCTTCCGGTGCGAGGCGAACCCGAGCCGCACCAGCTCGGCCCGCGCCGCCTCGTCCGCCGCGCGCGCCTCGCGCACCACGATCTCCACATCACACATCACTTCCAAACTCTATGGCTTCTTTTAAGTAATATTAATTTAATAATAGCGAATATATTGAAGCGACAAAAGTTCACAAACAACAAACAGGATCGTCGGGTATTGGGATAAAACTTCTTGACAACTTTGACAGATGAAGGAATGACCACTCATCTGTGGGAATGACAGAAGATATTTGACCATATTTGACCGACCAGCTAGAAGTTTTTTTTTTTTATAAACCCTTCCTGGCCTGGAAATTTGTACCATTGGCTGAATACTTATAAGTTTTTTTTTATTATTATCGATTGCTCGTTGACGTCAGAATCATAGAATAGTCCAGCGGTTCCCGAGAGGTGGTCCGCGGAACCCTGGGGTTCCGTGGAAAGGCCGCAAGGGTTCCGTAAAAAATATTATCCCACGTTTCGTGACCGACGTTGTTCGCTCGCACCGACTTGTTTACGCACAAGGGAGGGATAGGGCATGCGGGCGGAGTAGTACGGGGGTTCCGCTAGGAAAAGTATAATCAATTACGGTTCCTTGGCAAAAACAATTGGGAAACCCTGGAATAGTCTACTTCTTTTTCTTTTTTGATGTTGGCAATACACGTCGAGGTCGACTCGACTTGATTTGTGTTGTGCCATTTCAAGTTAAATGTGAGACGAGTTATAGCCTGACCAGGAACATAAAAACCCTCGCCATGTTTTGGAAAATTAATGGTACTAATTTCTTTTAATGGCAACAGTAACTGAAAACTTCATTGACATGTCACCTTGCATGTCAGTCTATTGCTGTCAAAGTGTAAACAAACTTTATTTTAAATGTGCGCAACATGTGCGCAATTGATTTTGTGAATTAAATTGCTAAAATCTTTTTGTAGTCGTGAAAGAAAAGTGGTTCACAATGTGTTAAAGTATTTGTCGAAGAGAAATACTAAGGGTTCGGACAATATTTTCATTGAATAATGTTTCCGACAAAGGTTGTCAAATTGACTGACATGTTTATCGTATAGTACAGTCAACTATGAAAATTAGCTGTGGTTTGTTTCAACTACCTATTTTAAAGTTTTTTGTCACTTTGTAAGTATTGAATTTTATGGAATTGGGAAAGAAGTACCGAGTTTGAAGCGTTCATGAGCAGACATTGGAGTTGAATATTCAAGTTCAGAATTTGATTATAGAAGAATAATAATAAAATCCTACTTGCTCGATTGATGGTTTCATTTAATTTATTTAAACCAGTTTACCTGTTTAAATAAATTAAATGAAACCATCAATCGAGCTAGTAGGATTTATTTTATTATTCATCAATAATCAAATTCAGAACTTGAATATTCAACTGCAATGTCTGCTCATGAACGCTTCAAACTCGGTACTACTTTCCCAATTCCATAAAATTCAACACTTAGAAAGTGACAAAAAACTTTAAAATAGGTAGTTGAAACAAACCACAGCTAATTTTCATAGTGGACTGTACTATACGATAAACATGTCATTCAATTTGACACCCTTGTCGGAAAAAATATTCAATGAAAATATTGTCCGAACCCTTAGTATTTCTCTTCGACAAATACTTTAACACATTGTGAACCACTTTTCTTTCACGACTATAATTAAAAAGATTTTAGCTATGTAATTCACAAAATCAATGGCGCACATTTAAAATAAAGTTTGTTTACACTTTGACAGCAATGGACTGACATGCAAGGTGACATGTCAATGAAGTTTTCAGTTACTGTTGCCATTATAGGCCAGTAGAATTAAACACAAAAATGAATTAAATCAGAAATAATTCCTACTAAAGATTTTAGTGCTTTAATGGCTTCATTAGTTGCCCATGAAGACTCTCCTAGGTTTTCGACTTCGACGGAGTTGAGCGTAAGTGGTGGGGGCCCCCGAAAGGGGCGCTTTTTCGGTATTCCGGTTATACCGCGTAAAGGACTTACCCTATCAAAAAGTGGTCTTCCTGACGGTTGAAGGGCATTTAATCCTGCATTAAATAAGACCAAATTCATATGTTTTGAACAAACCGTTCTCGTGCAAATGTTAGGCAAAGTAGAAAATCCCATCCCAACTAATATTATAAATGCGAAAGTAACTCTGTCTGTCTGTCTGTCTGTTACGCTTTCCCGCTTAAACCTCGCAACCGATTTTGATGAAATTTGGCATAGAGATAGTTTGAGTCCCGGGAAAGAACATAGGATAGCTTTTATCCCGGTTTTTGAAACAGGGACGCGCGCGATAAAGTTTTTCTGTGACAGACAAAATTCCACGCGGGCGAAGCCGCGGGCGGAAAGCTAGTATGTGTATAATTACTGACCCTCTCCACGTCCAATGGCTCGTTACCCGCAGGCTTCCAAGTCTTGAAAAGGAGCGCCTCAACCAGTGTAACCCTATCAAAGCTTACGAGCTGGATGCGCCTATCCTTGTACGTCCCAGCCGTTCCTTAACTGCGGTTGCTGCACCTCTTCCTGGCACTCACCTGAACGACTCTGTGTTACCTACTGTGGCTGCCCCTCTTCCTTTTATCCTCCTGCATGACTACGTTGCCTAGCCGTATGGCTGGTCTAAGGTTCGACGCCAAAAATCAACAACAACAAGTTCATATTAAAACGCTGAAGAGTTTTTTGTTTGTTTGTTTGAACGCGCTAATCTCAAGAATTACTAGTTTGATTGAAATAATTATTTTTGTGTTGAATAGCTCATAAATTGAGGAAAGCTATAGGATATATACAATCACTCTACGACTAATAGAGGCGAAGCAGTAAAGAAAAATGTTGCAAGCACGGAAAATAGTATTTAAACTATTTTCACGCGTACGAAGTTGAATTTGTGGCGTCGAACCTTAGACCAGGCATATGGCTAAGCAATGCAATCGGACAGGAGGGTACAAGGAAGAGGGGCAGCCACATTAGATAACACAGAGTCGTTCAGGAGAGTGCTAGGAAGAGATGCAGCAACCGCAGTTAAGGAACGGCTGGGACGAACAAGGATAAGCGAATCCAACTCGTGAGCCTTGACCGGGATACGCTGGTTAAGCCGACCCTTTACAAGGCTTGGGAGCCTACGGGTGACGAGCTATTGGACGTAGAGAGGGTCATTAATTATACACATATTTTCTACTTTGCCGAACATTTGCACGAGAACGGTTTGTCCAAAACATATAAATTTGGTCTTATTTAATGCAGGATTAAATGCCCTTCAACCGTCAGACAGACCACTTTTCGATAGGATAAGTCCTTTACGCGGTATAACCGGAAAACCTAAAAAGCGCCCCTTTCGGGGGCCCCCACCACTTAATCACAACTCCGTCGAAGTCGAAAACCTAGGAGAGTCTTAATGGGCAACCAATGAAGCCATTAAAGCAATAAAATCTTTTGTAGGAATTATTTCCGATTTAAAATCTAATTCTACTGGACTATTAAAAGAAATTAAAGCACAAGTTCATCGCCATCAATAAAAGAAGAAGAAGAAGTAAAAGAAATTAGTACCATTAGTTTTCCGCAACATAGCGAGGGTTTTTATGTTCCTTTCCTGGTCAGGCTACTATACAACGGATCCTACTAATATTATAAATGCGAAAGTTTGGATGTCTGGATGTTTGTTACTCTTTCACGCAAAAACTACTGAACGGATTTTGATGAAACTTTACAGTAGTACTGTTTATAACCCAGACTAGCTTTCCGCCCGCGGCTTCGCCCGCGTGGAATTTTGTCTGTCACAGAAAAACTTTATCGCGCGCGTCCCTGTTTCAAAAACCGGGATAAAAACTATCCTATGTTCTTTCCCGGGACTCAAACTATCTCTATGCCAAATTTCATCAAAATCGGTTGCGAGGTTTAAGCGGGAAAGCGTAACAGACAGACAGACTGACAGACAGACAGACAGACAGAGTTACTTTCGCATTTATAATATTAGTTGGGAAGTTGGGATTAACATACAGTGTGAGTCACGATAAAGTGCACGTATGAAAATAGGTGAAACTAGACCTATTTTTTTTATCGACAAAAAAGGTCAAATTTTTTTGAGATTTTTAATTTTTTTTTATATATTTTTTTTTTCCAATAACTTCTTGTAAAAATAATAACTTTTAAACTAACAGCAACAAATAATAAAAAATTATACATTTTGAAAAAAATCTGCTTGCGTGTTTTTTTTGTTATTTGATAAATTTCTCCAAAAAATGTCCCTATAACAGGTGGTTTTTATTACTTTGCATTATTCTCTATCGTATTACTTTTGTATAATTAACTTTTTTAAAAAATAAAACCGACTTCAAATGCGTGAACACAAAAAAAAACTAAAAATTAAAAATATTGCGTATATAAAAGTTCATCCCCAATTTTCCACCCTTGGGGGTGAACTGTTTTCTTCAAATTCGCATGAAACCATCCTTTTGATAATACCTATTCAACAAAAAAATAATCGTTCAAATTGATTTATAATCGGCGGAGATATTGCGTATAAAAAAGTTCATCCCCAATTTTCCACCCTTGGGGGTTGTTTTTTCTATTATTAAATTTAAATGGGACCACCCTTGAGGTATTACCTATACGCCGAAAAAAGATTTGTTCAAATCGGTTCATAATTGGCGGAGTTATCGCGTAACAAACATAGAAAAAAAAAACTTTTTTTTTTATTTTTTTTTTGTTATTATAATTTTTTTTTTAATATTTTTTTTTTATTTATGAATTTTTATGACTATGTATCATTATATTCCTTAAGGGTATTTTTTGCTCCTGGAAATCATCATCTCATTATTGATGAGCTGATGATAGAAGGTAAAACTCCTTAATGCTTAGGAGTTGGAGGATAATTCTTTTAATTTTATAGATAAGTATAGTTTCTAAAGTTATTCAAGTGTTTACATCAGATATTCATCATCTCATCATGATGAATTGGTCATGGTAGGTACAACTCCTTAATGCTTCGGAGTTGGAGGATAATTCTTTAAATTATTATAAGTACAAATAGACCAACAGTTGTATTCTTTCATGTTTTTAAGGTGGGCTGACGGTTTAGGGTCTTTTAGGTTTCCTATATGGTAACCTGTATTTTGTATGGAATATTATTTACACTAGACAATACATGAAGAATATGGTGTCAATGTACTGCCTACCTTCAGTGGTAACATCA